GTGCTAATGACTGGTTAAAGCGCCTTACAGCTATTAATTTGGGCTTGCAGATGCAAATTCAGTGCTCAAAAAGGCGTCCAAGTTTCCTCCATGCTGCCTGTGACCAGTAAATACCTCCAAACAACAATTAACAATGCTGAAAGCTTCTAGGGAACTCATTTGATCTGAACTTTGTTATTAATAACTGAACACAAAGCTTTTATTCTGAGGGAAACCATAAGGTCAGACAGTACAGTGTATAAACAGTGTATGATGTGATTAAGTATTTTACATGAAAATGAGCTTGACCCTTCTCTGTGTTTCTGGATCAGTTTGACAATAAATGGATCAAATATGACTTTTCATATATAATTAGTATGCTAATATCCATAATCTTTTGTTTTCTACTGTCTTCAGAAAAAAAAAAATGACACACTGTCCTCTATCCTCTTATCAAACTGGTATCTGCTGTTCATTTGCTAAAATGCTATCATTATGCTTGTAACGTCATCTTTTCTCTCCTCCACTTATGTGCTGTCATTTTTGTTCGTGCGTACTTCGAGCTCATTTTATCATCTTTGCCTCAAACCTCCTCCTGTTTCATTTCATTCTTCTCTTTTGCCTTTTCCCATCTTTATCAGAGGCTACGCTGACATGCCAGCCTGCCCCGACTTATTTGATTTCTTTCTTGTCCGTTCTTCATCTCTGTCCTCTGTTGCTGCTCTGTCCTTTAACTCTTTGTCCTTCAAAATGAATTGCATTCTCAAGTCTCCCTTGTCTTTTTCCCATCTCTGCACTCCAACGTCCAAAACCTTTTCTCTCTACCCTTTTACCTTCTGTGTTTGCTTGGAAAATGCATCCTGAGAATTTTCATCGCCTTACTATCAGCCTCTGATATAGTTGAGGAGAAGTAAAGCCACCAAGTGCAAACAAGTAGCCATTACTGACACACTCAACACAGTTGGTTTGTCTCTGAGACATAAGACACACTTACTTTTTGCAATCTTTCAAGTCGAACAGAACCCTTCATGATGCGATTTTTGTTTTGTTTTCCTTCACTGGAGATCTTTCTGTCTGTTTACAAGGGAAATGGGTATCCAGATTATCACTCCAGATATGCTCATGCGTTCATTTTTCACAAACACTGACATTTAGAGTGACGCAGTTGAATATTTTTGGGTGCTCTCACGTAGCAGTGCTGCATCTGCCTGCATATGTGGCTGCAATCTGTCAAGAAAGTGCCATAGACAGCAAGCTTTTTATTAATGAGAATTTGCCCTACATAAAAAGCCTTGAGAAAACATGATAAGGTCATTAAGAAAACAAGCTTGACATTTTAGAAAATATGCATATTAGTAATCTCTTCTAAGGCGGAGATTTATACCACGCTCGAGTTTGAAAAATCAATATGCAGCTAGAACAAGGAGACCTTGAACTTGGATGAAACAGCTAGCATGGGCCTGTGTCAAGATGTAAAAGCAATAACAATCAACCCAGAAACACAGATTTCTTTTTTACTCAAGCATTTGTTAGGTTCAACATTTAGTACAGGTTATAACATATTCATTAGCTTTAGAGGTCCTAATAAGGCAGTTTTCCACCTTTGGACAAACCCAAGTTAGCTATTTCCCCCTGTTTCTTGTCTTTTTGGCTATGCTTAGCT